ATTCTACATCTATATTCTAAGCATACTATTTATTCTTATAAGTTGGTATAATGCTATATATTGTTTTGTATAGAATAGACTATTAAATTTCTTTACTTTTTAAAAGTCCTACTCAGTCTTCAGTTTCTTTTCACATGTGTTTTATCCTTACAGCTACTTATAGCTCTAACTCCTTATAGCTATAACTCCACGCCTATAGCATAGTAGTTAGAAACTCCAGAAATACTGTTTGGGTCCATTGGGGTCATTTACTGAGGCTAGAACAGCATGCCATCATCAGACAGTCTGATAATTTTTGTGACTGGTTAGAGGAGGTCAGCAGCCTTACCATGACCTCTATGAAAGTGGCTACCAAACTTAAGAGAGGAAAAAGTGTCTAATTGAGCAAGCATGATCTCACTTTTTCTAAATTTAGTTTGGGAAATTTGTCTACCATCCTTATGCAATCTTTTCATTGAAATCCATTTCCAATGGGCTGTTGTCCTATATGGGTCCACTCTTTTTTTAAAGAATCCCTCCATTTGGTCATCATAGTTCTTAATGTTTTGATAGGACAGGAGAATAGGAGCTGAAAAGAAAAGCACAAAGGTGCTAATAAAGCACAAGTCCATAAGTTCCTCAAACATTGTTGACTTACTTGGGAGGCAGAAGCAAGAGAATTGAAAATTTGAGGCCAATCTGGGCAAGATCCTGTCTCAGAATACAAAGCGAGTGGGTAGTTCAATGATAAAGCAGTCCCCTCCCCTCAAAAGTTGTTAACTTCAGCAGTTATATATTGAATTATATATTCATTATTCATTATTTATATATTCATTATTTGAAAACCAAGTCATTATTGATCTTTGTAATTTTTTGATGATACTGGAGATTGAACCCAGGGCATTTCCACTGACCTACATCTTTAGGCCTCTTTTTTTTTGAGAGGGGGGTCAAGGTCTGGCTAAGTTGTGATGTTGCTTGAGCTGACCTTGAATTTACAGTCTTCCTAATGTGTGCTGGGAAAGAACTCCATTTGGTCATCATACTTCTTAATGTCTTGGTAGGGTAGAAGAACAAGAACTGAAGAGAAAAGCACAAAGGTGCTAATAAAACATATTTCCTTAAATTCCAGGGATAAGTTATTTGTGTCACCTGACTTACACTTTTTAATAGTAAAAAATGACATAGTAAAACATTTTAACTTTGCCCTTCTAATTTGCATTTTCAGGTAACTTGTAGCAGTCTTATCAGATGTACATCATACTTTGATATGCATTTATGAATGTATTAGTATTTCAAACTAAGTGATCCTGCTACTGTAGTACTATGGATTGTGAAATCATGTTGCACTATGGATTGTGAAATCATGTTGATTCTGGAAAAACTTTCAAAGTTCTGTTTCTTTCACGGAGATACTTTTTGCTCTTAAATAGCAATAATAAAAAAAAGATTGATTGATTGTCTTTAGTGTTGAAGTTAAGCCCAGGGCCTTGCACAGGCTAGGCACTTATTCTACCACCAAGCCACACACCTCGCAAGAAACCAGTTTTAAAAATAACAATTAATGGTATTGATGTAGTAAAATAACCCAGTCTAACTCTTACAGACACAATGTAAATAAAATTGTTAGTATCTTTTAGCTGGATCCTTTGACTTCATACACCAAGAGTTATATAACATTTTTACATTTTTTGATTGTATAGTTATATATATAAGAGCATTTTCTGAGGAAAAGTGAGACAAGGGAAAGGTTTATAAACAAAGATGCTTATTGTAGCATTGTTATTATTATTTTGTTATTTTTGGCGGTACCAGGAATTGAACTCAGGACCCTGTGCTTGCCAGGCAAGAGCTTATTCTACTGAGCTATCTCCCTGGCCCTATAGCATTGTCATAATATTGAGAAATTAGAAAATATCTGTTCAACATCAAAGAACCTTTGTAAAATATTAAGTAATAAATCAGCACATAAAGCCAGATTTTGCCATGTTGTACGATGTGTGCTTATAATCTCATTGATTTAGGAGGTTGAGTAGAAGGATAGCAAGTTTGAGGCCAGTGTGGACAACTTAATGAAACCCTGTCTTGAAACACAACACAGTGAACTAAAACAGGCCCAAAGGTTGGAATGTAGCTCAGTGGTAGAATGGTTGACTAGCATGCACGAAGTCCTGAGTTCAGTCTTAGTACCAACAAAACAACAGCAAAAGGAAAACAAAGCACACTTCCATAAGTTCCTCAAAAGTTGTTGACTTACTTGGGAGGCAAAAGCAAAAATAAATGTGTTAGATAATGAAGAGATGTATGAAAGATAGGAAAACTGAAGGGAGGTACAAAGAAAAATAGGATAAAAATAGTTATTAAATCTATTATTATTAATTCCATAGAAAAATATGTATAGAACAAAGAAAGCCTAGGATGCATAGTCCAAAATGTTAATAGTAGTCTCCATGTATGAAATTGAGTGATTTCCTCTGTGTTTATGTATTTGACATTTTTTTCTGCATTTAAGATTTAATGCTTTTAGCATTAGTAAAAATTAATATAAACATTTCATGAACCTAAAATATATTAGATTTGATTTCTAGAATTGAATAAACAATATGAGAACACCAAATGGGATAGTAACATGAATTTCTCTCTTTAAAAAGGCATTGAAAGGGGCCGGGGAGATGGCTCAGTGGGATAAGCGCTTGACTGGCAAATGCAAGGATCTGAGTTCAATCCCCGGTTCCGCAAAAAAAAAAAAAAAGGCATTGAGGTATAAATTTAAAGCAATTTATCTCACTATTAATGAATTCATTAAAATAAAAGTCCATATACCGTGAACTACAGTATATGCCAAACATTAATTATTGCTGTATACTTTGAATTACAAAGATGGTTACTGAAAGAAAGCAAGCTTGCTATAATTTTTTTCTGTTTTAAAAATGTATTTTAGTACAGGGTCTCACTACTTAGATTGGACTCACAGTGATTCTCCTGTTTTCAGCCTCCCAAGTGCTGGGATTACAGGTGCACCACCACGCCCAGTCTCATTTGCCATCTCAGTGCGTCCCGGGGTTGGGGCCGGCAAGCAGGCTGAGGATTGAACTCTTGGTCCCTGTGTTGTAATTTCTTGTAGAAATTTTTGTCATCTTCTCTGCTAGGCTAAATTAGATTCTCTTCTGTTTTAGCCCTTACCATGATGCATGACATTAGTTCCTTATCAGTTCACAATATTAGTTTATTATTCCTGTGCCAGAAAGGCTAATGGCTGAGGTCATTTTTGAAGAATGATGAACCACATTTAATTTAGTTGATTTTTAATAAAGTCCTTTGTCTTGCTATCATCAAGGATTGATAAGAAGCTATTGTACTCAAGCAGTTACTAAGTTTTAATTGAGATTTTTTTTTTCAAATGGATTTTGGTTCTGAATCAGTGAAGCACAAATATCCATTCATTTTTTTAAAGGTAAAAATTTGGCCATAAAGTGATTACACTGTAGCTGAGGAGCAAGGAAAATTTGAATTCGTAGGGAAGAGATAGGTCATAGTGGATGATTTTTGAAAAAGTATATAACAAATGGAATCAGTTATTAAGGCTTAGTTACATGCAGTCAGAATGTTGCTGCATTCACTTCTGAGCAAGTTGAAATAACATGCAGAGTAAGCTTGGGAAGCTCTGTTGGAAGTCGTGTGAATGGGACCAGGGAGAAGGCTCAGTAGAATAAGTGCTTGCCTGACAAGCACAAGGACCTGAGTTCAATCTCCAGTTCCACCAAAAAAAAAAAAAAAAAAAAGAAGAAGAAGAGGAAGAAGAAGAAGTAGTCGTGTGAAGCAGTAGCTGGGCTTGTGACTCAGTGGTAGACACTTGCTTAGTATGTTCAGTGCCCTCAGTTCAGTCCTCAGCACTGCCAAAAACAAAACACCTTAGTTCTAACATGTACTTTCCGTACCCATTTTACTCACAGATGGTTTTTGAAATTCAGTGTAAGTTGATCTATTCTTTGATGTCACAGACTAATTTTTTAAGGACAGTGATTTTCAGCCCAAGGGATATTTGGCAATGTCTGGAGACATTCTTGTTTGTGACAGTTTGCTGGTAGTAGTAAGCCTCTAGTGAGTTGAGGTTACAAATGCTGCTAAACATACTATAGTGCATAAGTCAGCACTGCTTACACCCACAGTAAACAACAAAGCATTCTCTACCCTCAAATTTCATTAGTACTGGGGTTAAGAAACTGCCTTGACAAAGGTCAAGGTCTCAGACCAGCCTAAGAAACTTTCGTTAACTCATAACAGTACTTACAAGCTGTAACTCAGCTTAGTGCTAACCATGTCATGTCATTGATCATCTAACATTACTCAGCTTCCTTCGAAAAGTTCTGTTTTAGTTTCAGTTTGGAATAGTGATGCGGTAGAGATGCAGACCTTTTTAATTATTTTTTTCTTTTTAAGATAGTGTCTTGCTATGCAGTTCAGGCTAGCCTTGCTCTCACTTTGTAGACCAGGCTGGTCTTGAACTTGCTATGATCCTCCTGCCTCAGCCTCCTGAGTGCTGGGATTGCATGCAGATTAGAGACGCAGATTTTAATGCCTTTTAAAATTTTCCTTAGTATGTGTCAGCCAGGGCCGGGGAGATGGCTCAGTAGAATAAGCGCTTGCCTGGCAAGTGCAAGGGCCTGAGTTCAATCCCTGGTTTAAAAAAAAAAATCCACTAAGAGGCCGTGAATACACAGCAGCTGTAGACTCCTGTCTGACTTACAAACATGGCAAGATTCTCACTTCATGTATTATAATGTACCACCGCAGACTCTGAGCAGTATGTGTCCGCCAGTCTCCTAATAGTTTATAGGACAGGAATGCCTGCTATTTCATTATTATATTTTGAAGATGACTACTTTTATATCCTTTAAAACTCAAAAAAGCATTTAACTGATTTATTTATTGCAGGAATTATTTAGGAATAAGTAGTAGTATAATGAGTATTAAGACTTTTGAAATATCTTATAATTGATTCAACTTTATTTTATCAACAGGGTCAGGAGAAGGAATGGGGAAAATAATCCAGAGATTTCCACAGAAGGACTGGGATGATACACCTTTTCCGCAAGGTATTGAATTGGTAAGTTAATATTGCATTCTTAATTTTTTATAATGATAGTTTTTTGTTACATTTCTGTTTATACAGTATTACATTTCCTGTTAAATAATTGATAATGTAACTGCAATATTTTACTAGAAATAATTTTCTTCCTACTAACAATTTAGATACAATAATGTTTGAATATGTTGATTTTGGAATGCTTGTTGTGCAGGTCTTTTTCCCATTTAAACTTCTTTCTAGCCTTAGAGGTAAAATTTAGGATTTTTATGACTCAGAAGCAGAAGGCTTTTTCTGATTCTTTAGTAAAAATGTTAACCTAAGAAGTTTGAGGGAATATATACCATTGAAAGAACATTGATGGTATTTTTTTATTGAAATTTTTCAGGTTTGAATGAAAATAAACAGAAAGCAGATAAACAAAAACACCAAAGTCTTATTTAATGTTGATAATCAGTCATAGGTTAAGTTTGATCTTGATATCACAAATCTGAATTTTTCTCTTTTCATCTACAAGTTTTGTGAATTGCAGCATTGCAGTGCAGCTGCCCACTCCCACTTGATCAGCCATTTTAAAGGAATTTAATTGTTGGATGTAACTTAGAAACTCCAGGATAATCTTTCTGTTAGCATATCCATTGTGGGAAAATGAAGGTTTTCCCAGAGTACATTTTTGCTGTATGACTAAAATTTAGTTCTCCAAATATACAGAGTGAGGGGTTATTGTTATGTTTATATACTGTATACACATACATATATAAGCAGTATTCTTCAAAGTAGCTCTTGTTGAAAGAACATTTAGTATAATGTTACAGAGTGCATGCTCTGGTACAGATTGCCTGTGTCAGAAATGTCAGCTGCATGGTATATGACTTTTGACAAGCACTTGTTTTTTGAATAGCAGAGTCTTCATCTATAAAATAAAGGTAGTATCAGTACTAATCTCATTGGGTTATTGTCAAGGTAAAATGTAAACTAATGCACATAAAATGCTTAGGACAATATATTCCTGTTGTAAGTGCTCAACAAATGAAGTCTGTTTTTTTTTTTTATTATTGTTATTGCTGTTTGTTTAACACCTTTCAGCCCTTTATTCAGAGGAAGAATTATTTATTCTCTTGTTAGTATGGATCATTGGTATTAAGAATACAACTGATATTGAAATCTTTCCATCCTAGCTGATGACAGTCCTAGTCTTCTTCATTGAGAATGAAAGACACCTTGCATAGTTCTTAGGTTTGATTTTTTGTTTTTATTTATTTATTTATTTTTATACTGGAAATTGCACTCAAAACCCTGTGCTTGCCAGGCAGGCACTTGTGCCTCTGAGCTGTGTCTTTGGCAGATTTGATTGTGATAATCTAACTATGTGAAGAAGGTTGTGAGTTTGTAGGCCCACTGAGAAGGAAAATCTTGAATTTTAACATTATAAATGGGGAATGTCAGTATCTAAGGAAAAGTGGCCTTTTGGAGAGCTGTTTACGTTCTTTTCTCCCCTATGTATCTTTATCAGTAATTCACCTTATTGTATGAGTAATTAGGCATTTATATTATAAGAACTTTTAAACCATTTTCAATATCCCTCTTAGTGGTGTCAAAAGTGCAACGTTTTGGTGGTATGGACCTATTAGAACTCTCTGGGTTTCTACCTCTCCTCCTATCAGAGTGTATTGGTATATAATACTACATCAGTTTGACCATATGAACAGTGAACCACTTTCATAAGTTTTAACAACACAGACATTTTTGGGGCAGAGAGAAATAATAAACTGGCATAATTGTTTAATCAGGACTGAGAAAGAAGACCTTTTCTGTTTTGAAAGAGAAGGAAACTGATGTTTATGATGCCACCGATGTTTTTCTAGTAGCAAGGAAGAGACATACATTGAGTTTACTGTTTAGTAAAGAATTTTTTTTTCTTTGTGTGACAGACACAGCAGTGTTCACGTGCTGTCAGTGTCATGTAACAGACAATGAGTGTACTGCTGGATTAGTGTAATAGAAGTATCAAGACGTAGACAGAACTTTTCCTTACCTAATGCTTTCCTGGGTTACTTCTTGGATTATTCTTAGCATAGCAATCCAGAATTTGTGATCTAGATTAATATTAAAGAATATGTGGTCTGTTGGATTATGTGTGAAATATTTTTATTCTTTAACATTTTTCCATTATTGATAGCAGTTCTGATTACTTTATATCTATTGTGTTTTGTCAAATTTAAATTTCTTTCACATACCAGTCTATTTTTAAAAATAATAAATTACTGTTAATTTTTGTTTTAAAAATATTGTATTTTACTGTTCTTGCAGGTATTAGAGATGTGTAATTACATATAAAAACCTCAATAACTTATGTAACTGTGACATACTGTGTCATCTTGGGTAATTTCTATAGCTTCAAACTAAAGATAGAAATAATAAACTCAGTCTAATTGAAGGTGATTTGACTCAGTGTCTAAATGGTTTGTTGATTCCAAGATAGTGGTGAGCCTTTTCTGATGATGGACTAGAAAAAAGCCGTACCCTTTCCAAGTATTTAAAATTAAGGTTAGTATCTAACAGTTGTATAATATTGATACTTAATGATGAACTCTCGTAAAATGGTAGTAGTGTTAATTCCAGTCACCTCCCAACATTAGTACTAAGGCTTTTGGACTAAGCATTCCTTCACAAGGATACCCAAATTATATTCAGATGATAGCACTGAATAGAGACCTGTTTTACTGTATCTGAGGACACATATGGATAAGAACATAATAGTATATTGAAATTATTTTCTATTGCCATCTCTTTTCCCCCAGGAAGCATGTATTTGATGCATTTAAATTCTGAATGAAAGATCATGTGTTCAACCTGAAAGCTAAGCTTATAATTTGTGCAGAATGGTTTTAGGCATTCATTCACTAATAAGTTGAATGTCAAATTTAATTAAAGAATGCTGAATTTATTCTTTACTTTTTTTTTTTTTTTTCATTTATGTATCTGGTACAGGGTCTCACTACGCAGCTCAGACTCATAGCGATCCTCCTGTTTTCAGCCTCCCCAGCACTGGGATTACAGGCGTGCACTACCATGCCCAGACTCATTCTCAGGTTCAGGGGCAGAGCCAGCATGGCACGTAGGACTGGGGATTGAAGCCTGGTTCCTGTGCTTGCCAAAGCAGGCTCTTAGTCTGCTGAGCTATCTTGCCTGCCTATATTCTTTCCATTTTTATATAAACAAATTTCCTTCTTAGTCTTCTGTTTAGAAATGGTGAACTTTAATTTGGTTATATTTTAAAAATAAAAATATGAAAAGCTAAACCAAACATAATGACTACTTTTCCAATTCTGGGATATTTCTGTCTCTTTTTTTGTACTTTTTAGGCATATGTGGAAACCACAGACAGTCATATAAATAAAATTGCAGTTAATTTTAGCAAGTGTATTTCAAAGAAAATTAAAGAATTGTTTTCCAAAGGCATTTATGGCTAGAAATCTGTTTATTACTGTGGGAACAAATGTTTTTATTGGTTAGGTCTCAGACAGCAGCAAAATAGTGTTGTTTTGGTGCTAGCTTCTTTTTATTTTTTTTTTTATTTTTTTTTTCAAAGTTTTATTGACAAACAGATATCAATGAGACAGTTTCAAATCATATCGGAAGGACAGTTTCAACAAATAATACACTGCATATATTCTTCTTAGTGGTTAATTGCTGTACAAGATGCGGACTTGTGA